TTTTTTTGTTTTTTTTTTTTTTTTTTTCTCATAGCTCTAAAGAACTAACTTTAAGGGGAATATTTCAATGTTATATGGTTGTAGCACATTCAACTCCAAGTAGAAAGTAAATTGTATAGATTCTCAATTCTAGTTGCACATGTCTGGTGGCGGTAAACCGCTGGAGATTCTAATGCCTGGTGAATTCTGCAGTATGTATATTGAAAGAAGTGACATTAATTGGATAGATGATGATGCGTGTAAAAATAAGTTAGAAGAGTATTTCGGCAAGGTTTGTTCTTCAACAAATTGAAAAAGCTACTTCAATAAGCTAAGATAATATTCTAGCGGTTTGCAGAAAAGATCTGCTGTCGCTACGCTCCTTTTCATAGTGTGCGATATTCGTTTTGTAAAATTCACTACTGAGTAAGAGAATTACATCTGCCTATAACGAAATTCATTCTTAGTTTGGGAAAATCACGGAATTCGTGACCTTTGGAGAAGAGTATCAGAAGAAAACTGGACATTCGTGCTTAATTAGAATGGAAAATAAGGAAGTTGCAAAGCGTGCTTTTATCTATAATATTGAAAATCATTGCGATTTTAATATTGAAGTTCGTTTTTATTTGCTCATTTTCGAACTTTTTTGACAATTTAAATACCAGTACGTTGCTATTCGATCAGATCGTTGTTCATGTAGCTGTTACCAAGTTCTCTCAATACGTTGCCTTTTAATTAATTGATTGAAATTTTACTTCAGCCTCGCTTTGGACAAAAATATCTGGATACAGGAGGCAATTTTTTTCATCCATCTGCTTACCGATTACTGATTAGATGGTGGCGTAGACCCAGCTGTGGCTATGGTGAAATAAAGGTTACTTGCGTATTAATGTTGTTATTCTTAGCTGCGATTATGTTTTAATAAATGATTTAGGTAGTTCAATTTCGGTTCTAATCTACGCTACTTACTGTTCAAAGGCATTTCCAATCAAAATATTTTAACTACTCTCTCAAACTCTTTTGATTAGAGAAAATTATTTAAGTTGATTACATCAAATAGATTTAAAGTAATATCTACAACATCTGTTGCATCTTTTTTCAGTTGAAGTCTCGTGATTTCGACCAGCGAATGTACGCTTTCAATGTGATTTCAGAACATTTCGGACATTTTCAACCTTCACTTGTGTCAGAAGATTTTATGGTAAGTATCCTGGTCTTTTCCGCTCATTTATTAATCATTTGTCCAATAATTGCTGTTTTTGTAGACGAGAAATCCGAATATAAGTGTCGACGATTTGTACAAGGTATGCTTTTAATTCGAAGAATATTTGTAATTTTATTATTTCTGCTGCATGAAACAGTATTCTTTGGAATACTGTCTTCATGTGATTTTCGAATCCTTTTGTTTTAGGTAAAACTGCAGTCTCTTCCACTGGATATTAATAACAAACGATTGCTTCATATTTTGGGGCCGGTATTGGATGCTTATGATATAGAATTTGATGAAGTATATGTGGTACGAAAGAAGAATTACCCTGTTGAAGACAAGAGGTATTAAACATACCTCTGATCTGCTATAGTTATACAATTTCGTTAGTGTTTTTTTTATGGTTTTTCGAAGATGATTTTTGTTTTTTCAGGGATTTGGAGAAGCATTCCCAACGAATCTCTGACCATATTATAAGAGTAGCGAAGAATGCAGGTACCACTGTGATGCTTCTTTTGAATAGACTGAAACATGACGATTATATTAATCAAAAATAATTCTCTTTATTAGAAAAGAAAATTTTTACCAAATTCATAAGATTTGGTGTTTGATATATTTGAAAAATTAGAACTATGCATTTTTCTTTTCTATTTCACTAAAATAGTAGCACATGTATCACCACTCGTTTTCCTGATTATTGTACATTGCAGTACATGTTAATTTTTTATGTGCATTCGTGAGTGAAGGTAACGTTCATCGTTTGAGTAATGATATTCATTTTTCAGTAGACGGTAATGGTTATCCATTCGAGGTTAAGATACGCGCACCAAAGCATAGTAATGACATTGAATTTTTGGCATTTGTTCTCTTCAGTGATATGAATATTGGGATACATGTGGGTCATGCATTGAAAGAAGCAGCGAAAAATGGCCTAACTTTGGAAATGGGACCGGTAAACCACATGCACGAAGTTCGCTCCCTCAATTTTTTTCTATTTCTTTTTTTAAACCATTCTGGCTGTTCAATTAGCACAATCATTAGAACGTCAGCACAATAATTTGCATGTTGTTAAGGTGTAGTACACAGTAAGTAGCTATAATTAATCTGAGCTCTTCAGATGTGAAACATTATAGCTTTATGAGATAACCACACTTTTTAGAATCCTTGGTCAGTAGTATTTATGTTAAATTAGAAATATTGACGGAATCATCTCTGTTATTTCAGGCCTATATACAAGAGATGTTTCATTACCAAATAAAAGTCCCGAGAATTCTTTTCAATGCCATTTTCGATGATTTGAGGGATATTTATGAAATAATCGATCATAAGGATATTGATTTTAATTACCGCAGTGACACATACAGCAAACTGTACCATCTCTTCATTTCTGGAGAAAACTTCGAGCAAGTCCCTCGTTGTTTTGATTTTTTGACGAATTATGTTGTTTTTACGATATATATTTTTCATTTTGCAAGATCACGCTGCATGCCAACACCTATCCATTTTAGTTCCGTAAACAAAGTTAAAGCTGCAATTGACAAGGTAATCGACGGGTATACGATCAAATGTAGAGATGGCGAGAGAGTGGACGGCGATAAATTACCCTGTCATCAACTGTTAACAAAATAAGTGATCTACATTTGTTTTCTCTGAATTGAAAAATAGTTATGATGCAATTTCCTAAATCAAAGAGCTATTGGAAACATCATACATCAGTGCAAATACTTTTGGATTACATGTATTATAATATGAACTGTTGAGGATGGCATGAATACAGTGAAAATAACTCTGTCATCAAAAATATTGAGATGATCGGAGTGTAGTTTTTTAAGGTTGGTCGGGATTTTCTCCACGATTTATCACAAAGATGTATAGTATTCCTGAACACATCGCCTTATAAAATGGAAGTGAAGATCCAAGGAAGTGTTTCGAATGTCGAAAAAGCTAAAATGGAAATCAAGCGTTTCTTACGAGAATGGTAATCAACTTTTAACATATTCTGCTTTTCTTTACTTCTACAAAATTTTTTTTATGGTGTTACAATAGAATAGTATTATACATAATAGAAGTTGAAATACTGGTCTCTGGAAACAATTGTTTCATACGGAATTTCATCTAAATTAATTATTATATCTCTTCAAATTTTGTATTTTACAAATTTTCCTTTGCTTATTTTGATTGTATATGCTCTAGGTTGGATGCAGACATTAGTCAGATTTTAATTCTACAGCCACCAAATTATCAACCAGGAACATTGAAAGCTCTTTTGGCTCAAAATAGTTATGATCTTCATTCACTGGAAAAGCAGTTCGGTTGTGGCTTACATTTAGATGCTAACATTGCCAAGCGCGAGCTATTATTTGTTGGCAAACAAGCGCAATTCCAAGAGCTTTTAGTCAGTTGTTTAAAAAAATTTCAGCTTTTACAAACGGAAACTAATAATTTTTTAGAGCAGTGAAGAAAATTGTTGGAATCAAGAACTTTAAAATATTCATGCATTCGCTTTCATGAATTTATCAAATTTGGATGTAAATTAATTCTGGGTCGTGTGTTTTCTGATCTATTTCAATTTATTTGCAGGAATTCAATTTTTGCCCTGAGAAAAAACTCATCATTTGAAAATGATGTGAACGGAATCTGTTATAATGTCATTTCAGAAGATGTTGCGTTCTATTTCTGACAGCATTCAGTCGGGAGATTCTTCAGTAACTACTTCCGGTAAAATTGGGGTACCAGAATGTGTTGTTTGCCTTTGTGCTGCAGATTTGGAAAACTATTGTCTGGAAGCATGTGGACATTATGCCTGCAAATCGTGTTTAAATATGCAAGTAAATTGTTTTCCGAGTATCTCGAAATTAATTCTTCGTAACACGTTCCATGTTTGTTAGATCTTAATTGTGAAAAGTAGCAATACAGCACTGTCATTTAGCTTTTTTGAATTGTTTTTCATACTATCTTTTTTCATCTTTTGCTTTATATATTTTGAAGTTTATTCAGTTTGTTATAACTTTTCAACCAGTGTGATATTTATTATAATTCGAATATTAGGGATGCGTTTTAAATCTTCACTTATTCCTGTTGAGGATTATTGCATCTCATTTAATCTCCTTTTATATGCTCAATTCATTCAGCTGAAAACATCAATTGAAGCGCG